TCTTTTGCTTGGCCTTTCTCCTCTGGCAAAGTAGAACATTCTGGAAGATCTCAGCTGGTCCCATTGCTGTAGATATCATCCTTCTGCCTTGATTCCTAATTCTGTGTCTCTAGCCTGATTTTTCCTTTGATGCCTATAGCCAGCTAACTATTCTAATTTTTCCACTTGGATAGTCAGTAAGTCTCAAACTGAATGTTCTGCTCTCCCAAAACTTCCCCTTCTCTATCATCTCATTACATAGTACCACCAAAATCCACCTTAATCCACCTTGTTCAAACTAAAATCCCTGAAGCATCATGGTGTTTTCTTTTTTCCCCATACACTGCATTCAATCTGTCAGCAATGTCAAATCTGTGAGAATGTTTTTTAATTCTATTCTTTATCTCATTGCTTCAGACCAAACTTTCCTGCTGTCTTATCTGGACCATAACCATAGCCTCTTGAATGATTAGTCTTCCTGGTCCAGCCCTCCCTTTTATAACCATAGCCTCTTGAATGATTAGTCTTCCTGGTCCAGCCCTCCCTTTTTTTTGGCGCGGGGAGGGGGAAGGGGTCCAGTCATGGGGCCTGAACTCTGGGCCTGGGCACTGTCCCTCAGCTCTTCAGCTCAAGGCTAGCACTCTACCACTTGAGTCACAGCACCACTTCCGGCTTTTTTCTTTTAGCTTATGTGGTACTGAGGAATCGAACCCAGGGCCTCATGCATGCAAGGCAAGCACTCTACCACTGAGCCACCTTCCCAGCCCATCCCAGCCCTCCCTTCCAAGGGCATTATTCACCCAGCAGCAGGGTGATCGTGTATAAATCATCGTATATGCTTTATTTACTTAATATTGTTTACTTACTATTTCCTTACTATTCATAAGCAAAGTCAGGTCCCACTGTAGAGAGTGTGTTGTGGGGCTTGAACTCAGCCTAGGCCAATGTCCCTAAGTTCTTTTGTTCAATACTAGCACTGTACCACTTTGAATCATAGTGCCACTTCCAATTTTCTGGTGATTAATTAGAGATGAGTCTCACAGACTTTCCTTCCTGGGATGGCTTAGAACCATAGTCCTCAGATATCAGCCTCCTGAGTAGCTAGGATTACGAGCGTGAGCCACCGACGCCTAGCAAATTCCATCTGTTTTCCTAAAAATGATATTATTTCACTCTTTATTGTTAAATAATACTTCCTGTGAATTTTTTGTTGTTTGGGTTTTTTTTTTTAACTGTATTTTTTTGTCTTTTCTTTTTTGGTACTGGGGATCGAACCCAGGACGTTGCACTTGCTAGGCAAGCGCTTTGCCACTGAGCTACATCCCAGCCCCTTCCTGTGAATTTTAATCCCTTTGTTAGTTGGGCACCTAAGCTGATTTCATAACATGCCTGTTATGAATAGGTCTGTCTACAAATTTGCTTTCCCCTCTTCCCACTTCTTTTTTTTTTTTTTTTTTTTTTTTGGTACCACTCCTCAGGCTTGAACTCAGAGTCTGGGCTCTGTCCCTGGGCTTTTGTGCTCAAGCCTAGTCCTGCCCTGGCTGGCTTTAAACCCTGGTCCTCTTATCTCAGCCTTCTCAGTAGCTAGAATTATAGGCCTAAGCCACATGTGCCTGGCAAAATGTTTTCTTAAAAAACTCTCATTAAGCTGGGCACTGGTATGGCTCACAACTATAATCCCAGCTACTCAGGAGGCTGAGATCTGAGGATCATGGTTCAAAGCCAGCTCGGGCAAGAAAAAGTCCAGTTATTTCCAGTTAACCGGAAGTAGCACTGTGGCTCAAGTAGAGTGCTAGCCTTGAGCTGAAGAGCCTAGGTACAGAGTTCAAGCCCCATGACCAACAACAACAACAACAAAAAAAACAAAGCCGGGTGCCAGTAGCTCATACCTGTAATCCTAGCTACTCAGGAGGCTGAGATCTGAGGATCATGGTTCAAAGCCAGCCTGGCAGAAAAGGCCGTGAGACTTATCTCCAATAAACCACTAGAAAACTGGAAGTGATTCTGTGGCTCAAGCAGTAGAGCACTCGCCTTGAGCTGAAGAGCAGAGGACAGCGCCCAAGCCCATAGTTCAAGCCCCACAACCGACAAAAAAAGAAAAAAAAAACTCATTAGGTCAAATTAACCATTCTTACTATATTTTTATTTGAACAATGATTTTAATATGTGAGTAATGTTTGAGAAGAAAAACATTGTTTAAGCTTTTCCTGCATTCCTTTCTTCCTTCCCTTTCAACAAAGATTAAGACATACTAGGTTCTTCAAAAATCTATGCACATGTACACTTTTTACCTTTGTATTTCATATACCAGTTCTTTGTCACAGATGAGAAAATTTACATTTAAGTCTTTTTCACGTGAGAATTGTCATATCTGTTTTAATGGGCAAATCCTATGAGGCCTGTTTTCTTATTTAGAAGATGAGATTGTAAAAGAGGGGATATGTATAACTTTTTTTGGTCTGTACAAGTCATTGGCATTTATAACCCCAAAGTAATTATATGCTTGTAACCTTATGTCCAATTCATAGACATATATGGTGGCCAGGAAATAAAATATGCTTAAGCGTTTTTCTTAGTTCTATTTTTTTGTTGTTTTGGCTCTTAATCTTTTTCTCATTCTCTTGATACTCCTTCATATGAATAATTTGGGGATAAAATTGCCCCATTCAAACATCAGGATTAAAAATTTAGTTGTTTTGCTCTTTAAAATTCTGCTTTTAAGCCAGGCGCTGGTGGCTTACTCTTGTAATCCTAGCTACTCAGGAGGCTGAGATCTGAGGTTTAAGGTTCAAAGCCAGCTCGGGCAGGAAAGTCCACAAGACTCTTATCTCCAATAAATCACTGGAAAACCAGAAGTGGCTCTGTGGCTCAAGTGGTAGAGCGCTTGCCTTAAGCTAAAGAGCTGAGGGACAGCGTCCAGGCCCAGAGTTCAAGCCCCATGACCACCACCAACAACAACAAAAATCTCCTTTTAGGTGTACTGATTTAAAAATAATGCCTTAGTTTATTCTTTCCCAGTCAAATCATGCTGTTTCATGAAAAAAATGTTTAATACCTTTATGTATTTGGGAAACTTGTTTATATATATATATATATATATATATATATAATTTTTTGAGAGTGAGAGAAAAGGAACTTTCATTTATGGAGCCTTATCTTGTTATCCTACCTAATCTTTACAACAACCTTGTGGTTAAGTACTATGCTCTTATTTATTTGTTTGTTTAGTCAGATATGGAGCTTGAACTCAGGGCCTGGGTGCTGCTCAGGCAACTTAAGCAACAAAAGCACATTACTTAGTACAATGCCTGTTTGTGTCTAAAGGTGTCTATTCAAGTAGAAATACTAGAAACGAATAGTTGCTCTCACTAAAGAGAACCTTCTTTATATATATATTTTCTATTGATTTTCACTTTGTGCTGAAGATACTGTCTGAGGGAAGACCAACCTTGTTCTTTCCTACCTTATGATTAAGTAACCAAAGCAGAGAGAAAAGTGACATGTTTGTATGGCGCAGCCACTTCCTGGAAGAGCCAAGGAATAATCCAGTCGTTTGTCTTGTGTTCCTGCATTTATCTGTTCTGGTCTCAAAAAAACCATCATTGATTCAGAGATTGTTCTGTTTTTTATTTCATCCAGATCTCTTTCATCTTTTTTTCTGTCTAAAATGTGACCATTTTGTCAGACACCAGTGACTCATGCCTATAATCCTAGCTGCTCAGGACGCTGAGATCTGAGGATTGCAATTTGAAGCCAGCCTGATAGGAAAGTCTTGTGAGACTCTTACCTCCAATGAACTAACGAAAAACCAGAAGTGGATCTGTGTCTCAAATGGTAGAGTGCTAGCCTTGAACAACCGAAGCTCAGGAACAACACTCAGGCACTGAGTTTAAGCCCCAGAACCAGTGTGTGCACACACACGTGGCCATTTCACTGTTCATTGGTGTCTTGTTAGAAAGGAGATGGGAAGCCGGATGCCAGTTGCTCATCCTTGTAATGTGAGCTTCTCAAAAGTCTGAGATCTGAGAATCACTGTTTGAAGATACTGTTTGAAACTTTTTGTCTCTAGTGAACACCAAAAGCTGGAATTTGAGCTGTGGCTCAAGTGATAGAATGCTAGCCTTGAACAAAAATTTCAGGGTCAATGCTCAGGCCCTGATATCAAGACCCAGGAATGGCACCTGTGTGCACATGCATATACACACACACACACACATACACACACATGGAAATAGGAATGGAATCTTTCCATTTCTTGGTAGACCTCTCTAGCTATAATATGATGGAAATTGATTTGAAACAGATGCAAGTTGAGGATCATTTGTAGATGTTACTAGAGGCTATTTTTCCTTCATCTTAAAATTAAGCACAAGCTAGAATAATGTATAATAATATATAATTATATTTTGTTCCATTCTGTACCTAGTTATCAAGTGGACAGCTTAATTCTTCCAGACATAGTCTAATAGAATCTAAAGAAAACAGTTTCTGGGTGAGAATCTGCCTGTGCTCCAATAATATGTGTTCCCTACAGCCTCAGCCCAGTTACTTGCTCTCCTTTTGTGTAAATCAGCACTTCATTATTCAGTGTCACCCTAATTGTCTGGTAGACTTAAGTCCGTTGCTCAACTAGGTTACAAATTTCTCAAAAGCAGAGAATATGCTGGATACTGATGGCTCACACCTCTCGTCTTCCTACTGAGATCTGAGGATTGCAGTTCAAAGCTAGCCAGGGCAGCCTTGCTACAAGGTAGCCATAGTCAAGGAAGATGACAGTCAGTGAGATTGGAGAGTAAGGACAGCCACATCAACTTTTAGTTAAGGGGGGGTTAGGGAGGCAGTGTCCTGATTTGTGACACTTGACAGTTTCCTGGAACAAAAGGAATTTGAGTTAAAATCAGATCTATTACTGTTGAACGCATGTCCTCTTCATGTTCTTACTTTGATTAGAGTGTATTCTCCCAGCATTTGTTTTATGTTTCTTATACTTGACAGAGCCTTCTTTCTCTGGATTTTTCTAGGCTCTTCAGCTTGACCCTGAAGAAACTCATCATGCTAAAAGAAATGGACAAAGATCTTAGCTCAGTTGTCATTGCCGTGAAGCTGCAGGTGAGTTGAGCATTGGGTTTTCAGGGCTCAGGGAAGCTGGGCCATTTGCCTGCTGTTGTGCTGCAGTTCTCCTGGGAGCTTCTCCCCTCTTCACTTAGCAAGGTGAGGGACAGTTGTGGCATAGCATTTGAGCTCACAAAACCTACTAAATCCTAGTTCTGCCTCTAGCTAAGGCAGCAGTTTCTTTACTCCTTGCTTTCTTTGGAGAATAGTATTGGTCCTGCTAGCTGAGCACCAGTGGATCATGCCCATAATCCTAGCTACTCAGGAGGCTGAGATCTGAGGATCACAGTCCAAAGTCAGCCGGAGCAGGAAAGTCCATGAGACTCTTAATCTCCAATAAACCAATCAGAAAACTGGAAATGGTGCTGTGGCTCTAGTGGTAGAGGGCTCGCCTTGAGCTGAAGAGCTGAGGGACAATGCCCAGGCCCAGAGTTCAAGACCCACAACTCACCAAAAAAAAAAAGAAAATGGTCCTGCTACCTGCCTAACAGGATCAGTGAGGCAGATAATGCCATATTTTATGAACCATTCAACATTACTAGGGTGGCTAGTGTTGGTTTCAGTCTTTGTCCTACAGTTTCTGGGTTGGGGAAGCACTTTGAAGTTTTCCCATATGGTGAAAAGACAGATTATATTAGTCTTGGCAATTTAAGATTATACTAGCACTCTATATTACCTTTTATAATAACAATTTAAAATTTTTAAGTAAAAGAAATTTACTAGTATACTTTGTATTCTGGATAGTCCTCACACTTAATTCTTTACATTTAATTCAGTTTTTTCAAGGAACTCAAAATATTTCACACAAGGAACTCAAAATATTTCACGACTGTTTGTACTTCCTAAGTATTCCTGAAATCAGAAAAGGAGAAAGGAAAACCTGGCATTGGTGGCTCACACCTATAATCCTAGCTACTCAGGAGGCTGAGATCTGAGGATCATGGTTCAAAGCCAGCCTGGTCAGGAAAGTCTGTGAGACTGTTATCTCCAATAAAGCACAAGAAAATTGGAAGTGGCGCTGTGACTCAAGTGGTAGAGCACTTGCCTTGAGCTGAAGAGCTGAGGGACAGCGCATAGGCCCAGAGTTAAAGCCTTACGACCTACCAAAGAAAAAAGAAAAAAAAAGGAAAGAAAAGGAGAAGCTGAACAAGAAAAGTGTTCAGGAATTTACCTGTTGCCAAGCTAATTACCAGTGGCAGTTCTGGAACTAGAAACCAAAGAGAATGTAATTTATATTTCATTAAACTGCATTCTCAGGCCTTCTATAATGTTAAATCCTTCCTAATGATGACTCCTTAGGGCTTAGGGAGGAAGGATCTGAAGGGCCTCTGCTGTCATTAAATAATGATTGAATTGAGCCTCATTCATTGCAAAACAATGAATTACATGGCAACTCCTTACTAGCTAGAATATTTTATTAGCTAGTTCATGTGCTATGCAACAGTTTCTTATACTTATATTGGTTTTCATTAAAATTAACAACTGGGGGAAAGTAAAGAAAGGGGTGACTTTGTCCCCCCCAAAAAATGTATTGAAGCCGGGCACTGGTGGCTCACGCCTGTAATCCTAGCTACTCAGGAGGCTGAGATCTGAGGATCGCGGTTCAAAGCCAGCCCGGGCAGGAGAGACTGAGACTCCTATCTCCAATAAACCACCAGAAAACCGGAAGTGGCGTTGTAGCTCAAGTGGTAGAGCGCTCGCCTTGAGCTGAAGAGCTGAGGGACAGCACCCAGGCCCAGAGTTCAAGCCCCACGACCGACCAAAAAAAAAAAAAAATGTATTGATTACCAACTCATGAAATGGCAATCCAGCTGTACAGCAGCTTAATAATAACAGAATATTATATTTTTTTAGTTAGCATTTCTAAAAATTCCACATCTGGACAGATGTTGGTGGTTCATGCCTGTAACTACACGGGAATCTGAGATCTCAGGATCATGGATCATAGTCAGACAAACCCATGAGACTTATTGCCAGTTAACCAGCAAAGCCCTGGATTAGAGGCAATGCTCAAGTTGTGTAGCACCATCCATGAATGGAAAAACCCACATCTAGCCTAGTACCAGTGACTCATGCCTCTAATCCTGTCTATTCAAGATCTGAGATCTAAGTATCATGGTTCAAAGCCAGCACAGGAAAGAAAGGCTCTGAGACTCTTATCTCCAATTAATTACCAAAGGGGGGAAAAACCTGGAAGTGGAACTGTGTCTCAAGTGGTAGAGCACTAGCCATGAACAAAAAAGCTCAGGGACAGCACTCAGGGACAAGCCACAGGAAGAGGTGAGGAGGGCTGGGAATGTGGCTCAGTGGTAGAATGCTTGCCTTGCATGCATGAAGCCCTGGGTTCCACTTCGTCAGTGCCACATAAACAGAAAAAGTCCGAAGTGGTGCTGTGACTCAAGTGGTAGAGTGCTAGCCTGAACTTTCCTACCTGGGCTGGCTTCAAATCATGATCCTCAGATCTCAGCCTCCTGAGTAGCTAGGATTACAGGTGTGAGCTAGTGGCACCTGGTTTCCCTTTTCATTTTTGTGCATAATCCCTTTCAAATCTATGGAATGTTCTCAGACACTGTTGATTGAAAAGAGAAATTTGGGAACTGATGTGAAGTGGCAGCTTTCAGTACTTCGTCCTCCTTTCTGATGTTTGCCCCATTTCTAGGTCATAGGCAGCGTTCCAGTTTGCAGGAATTGTTTCCTTTGCTAATGTTACTTTCCTATGCAAACACTGGTGGTATAGTTTTCAATTCCTGAAAATGAGTCAGTGACTGTAGTAATCATTCATAGGAAGAATGACACTACTATTCACCAAATGGTAGAACCTAAGCTACAGACAAATAGATGCAATAGCAGCCTTCTACATTCACAAATAGGTATAAAATGCAATTCACATTGCTGAAGTAGCAGGTAAGAGGTTTTTTTGTTTGTTTGCTGGTGTTAGTCCCAGAACCTTCTACATGGCAAGGCAAAAGCTCTATTATGGAGCTGCATCCTAGCCCCTAGTTTACATCAAAGGAGTGCCACTGTAATGGTTGTACCAGCACATGTTTAGGAATATTTGGGGGTGATGTAGCCCCTCCACTTCTTGTAAACATTTATTTGGCACAGGGTCTTGCTACATAGTTCTAACTTCCTGAATTCGTTATACAGGTATATATGTGCCTCTATGGCTAACTTGACAAACCTTTTCTTTTTTCTTTTTCTTTTTTTTTTTGGGGGGGTGGTCTGGTCATGGGGCTTGAACTCTGGGCCTGGGTGCTGCCCCTCAGCTCTTCAGCTCAAGGCAAGTGCTCTGCCACTTGAGCCACAGTGCCACTTCCAGTTTTCTGGTAGTTTATTGGAGATTAGAGTTTCACAGGCTTTCCTCCCAGGCTTTGAACTCTGATCCTCAGATCTCAGCCTCCTGAGTAGCTAGGATTTACAGGTGAGAGCCACCGACACTCAGCAAAACTTTTTCTTTAAAAGATTATCTTCAATTTAAAATAGTAGCTCATACCTGTAATCCCAGCTACTCAAGAGGCTGAAATCTGAGAATTGTGGTTTGAATTCAGCCCAGGCAGAAAAGTCCTCAAGATGCTATCTCAATTAACTGTCAAAAAAATGGAAGTGGAAGTGTGGTTCAAGTGATAGAGTGCCAAAACCTTGAGCAGAAGACCCAAGCAAGAGTGAGAAGCCCTGCGTTCAAGCCCCAGTACTAACACACACACATACAAATTCAGTACTTCTGACAAATTATTTACATTAGTGGAAGAAGGACAAAATAAAACCTCTTACAACAATACAACTAGTATTTTTTTTTTTCTTTTTGCTTATGTGGTGCTGAGGAATTGAATCCAGGGCCTCATGCATGCAAGGCAAGCACTCTACCACTGAGCCACCTTCCCAGCCCCACAACTAGTATTTTTTTCTGTGCCATTACTAGGGCTTGAACTCAGGGCCTCTCATTTGCTCAACTTTTTTTTTTTTTTTTTTTTTGGTTGGTCATGGGGCTTGAACTCTCGGCTTGGGCGCTGTCCCTCAGCTCTTCAGCTCAAGGCAAGTACTCTACCGCTTGAGCCACAGCGCCACTTCTGGCTTCCTAGTGGTTTTTTATTGGAGATAAGAGTCTCACGGACTTTCTGCCCAGGCTGGCTATGAACTGAGATCCTCAGATCTCAGCCTCCTGAGTAGCTAGGATTACAGGCGTGAGCCACCAGCGCCCGGCTTTTGCTCAGCTTTCTTACAGTTAGCACTCTACAACTTGAGCCATACCTCAAGTCCAGCCTCTGTTTCTGATTAATTGGAAATCAGAGTCTTGAGGATTTTTCTGCGTGGGCTGGAGATTTATAGATGACCAGCATGTTAATTAAAAAGGATTCATTATTAGTTTTCTGTGGCAGGGTTTTAGAGCACTGGTCTAGCATGGGTGATGCCTTGGATTCTATCCTTAGCACTCATACATACACACATGCATGCGTGCATGTGTGTGTGTGTGTGTGTAGTTATCAAACAAATGAAAATTGCAGACACAATGATATGCTACATATACCTGTTAGAACACTGAGTCAAGGTCTGGCCACACTGTGAAGCAGCTGGAACTCTCATGCTACTACTAGAGATGCAGAATGGCACAAATTCTTTGGAAAGTGGCCTAGCAGTTTCTCATAACGTTAACCGTGGGTCTTAACCTGAGACCCAGCAGTTTTACTGCAAGGTGTTTACATGATACATCAAAACATATGTCCACACAGCCATTCACAAGATTAGCAGCTTTAGTCTTAAAAGCTAAAACCTAAAGATATCCCAAATATGGATGTACAGCACCAGGAGGTTGGATAAACAAAACATACTGTTCAGACATAGAATTCTCCTCAGTAATAGAGGAGAATGAACCATTGATCAGCCTTGTGATCATCATATACACATTACAGGAGCTAAAGAGGTCCTGCTAGATCAGCACATGGTGTGTGATGGCATTTATGTTAAGTTTTAGGACGGGTAAAGCTAATGAACAAAGGTTCCTAGAAAACCTTCCTCTAAGCTGAGACCTGAAAGGTGAGTTGATTAGCAGTACACAGAAGAGCATCCAAGGAGAGAGGTAGCAGGTAAACAGGCCACCCCAGAAAGGCCATGTGATCCAAGAGTGCATTAGAGGAGAAAGAAGGAAAAACCAAGGTGAGCAAAGTAAAAAATGTATATATCCAGAGATGTCAGTGCTACCCATGCTTCCCCAGGAGTCTGGAAAAGTGAAAATTCTTGATGAGCCCTACAGTAATGAATGTAACCTTGCCTGTCATGGCAGGTAAAACCCAAAAAAAGACAATAAGACCGTTGAAATATTTGGACCAATGAAAATATTTGTGGTATTTAGAAGTTGTTTGCAAACAGTATTTGTGTGTGTGTGTGAAAATAGCTTTCACATACTTTTTTTCTTGGATTCAGGGTTCAAAAAGGATCCTTCGCTCCAATGAGATCATCCTTCCAGCTAGCGGTCTGGTAGAAACAGAGCTCCAATTAACCTTTTCCCTTCAGGTGAGACTGTTTAAATCTTAGGTCGTTGCTGGGAAGGTGGCAGTGGTAGAGTGCTTGCCTTGCATGCATGAGGCCCTGGGTTCAATTCCTCAGCACCACATAAGCAGAAAAAGATAGAAGTGGTGCTATGGCTCAAGTGGTAGTGCTAGTCTTGAGCTGAAAAGCTAAAGGACAGAGCCCAGGCCCCAGAGTTCAAACCCCGTGACCAACAAAAACAAAACAAAAAAATTTAGGTATTTAAGATGCCATGGTCAAACAGTTCTCACACCAAGACACAATTTTCTTTAAGAACAGCAAATTCCAGCTTGAGTGAGAAAGGGCAAAAGTCACCTGGAGATTTTTGGCTACTCTGGAGAGCCACAGCAGTCACTGGTACCAAATGGGCTGCTGAGATAATGTGCCATGACTCAGTTTTCCTTTACCTGACCATACATGATATTGTACCTACCTACTCTGCCCAATCACCCTCTCTGCTTATCACTCCGGTACTGACCACATAGCCCAGCAGGATGTGCCTCCTTCAGTCTCCTATGATCCCTTTCCTTCCCCTCTCCTACCCCTCCCAGCATGTTTCTCATCTTAATCCCAGTAGTATACATTGAAATGCATACAGAAAACACCTAACCAGATGATAAAAGAAAGAATCCGTTTCTCAGCTTGTGTGGACTCCAGACTGTGAAGAAAGCCAGGCACCTCCTTTTTACAGATAGGAAAAACTGAAATATAGACAGGTTATGTGTTCGTTAGTGGGATCTGAACCCCAAAACCCTCAGTTGCTGAGTAACCATCTGACTGCTTTGGTCTTTAGTACCCTCATTTCCTTAAACGAGATGCCAACAAACTTCAGATCATGTTGCAAAGGAGGAAGCGATACAAGAACCGAACTATTTTGGGCTACAAGACCTTGGCTGTGGGCCTCATCAACATGGCAGAGGTAAGTGGAACAGTGAAACTGCTGGCCTGTAAGTCAGAAGCCAAGAGGCACTGGACCTGGTCATTCATTCACTCCCAGCAAATATTTTCCCCAGCCTGTTGGCATTTGCTTAATTGTCCTTTGTAAGTTAATCATTTGGTTGGAAGTTGAAGATGGACTTTTTTTTTCTTTTTGTGCCACTTTGGGGGTTGAACTCTAGGCCTGAGGGTTTTTTTGTTTTTGTTTTTGCTCTGTTACTTGAGCTACAGCTCCACTTCCTGCTTTTTGATGGTTAAGAGTCTCATGGACTTTCTTGCCCAAGTTGGCTTTAAACTGTGGTCCTCAGATCTCAGTCTCCTGAGTAGCTAAGATTACAGGTGTGAGCCATCAGGACAGCTTGCCACTCAGGAATTGGGGGTGTAGCTCAAATGGTAGAGAGTAAGGTATGAGGAAAAAAATATTAAGAGCTCTAGGCCAAGACTTTAAGCCCCAATACTGGGGCACGTGCGCAACACACACACACAAAAAAAAATAGCTCCTCTGTGAAGAATGTAAGCTAACATGGACTCCCAGAGATCAAGAGATTCGCAATCATTTTCAGTCTCAAGCTTCAGTTGTTATCTTTTAAGTATATGGCCCTGACTAGCAAGCTGACAGATCAGATATACTTTTGCTTATTTATTTATATTGAGATGAAGTTTCACTGTGTTGCCCAGGCTAATTTCAAAGTCCTAAGCTTGAGTGACCCTTGTCTTAGCCTCTGATTTCCTGCTCAAGGCATCCACTTCAGTGCCTGGTTAGAAGTTGGGGGGGTGGGGAGGGGGAAAATGGGAGGCAGGGATGGTAAGGGGAAACAAAGGAGGAGGCAACAATGCTTGATAAGAAATGTACTCATTACCTTGCTCATGTAATTGTAACCCCTCTGTACAGTCTTTTCACAATAAAAAATTAATAAAAAAAAGAAAGAAAGAAGAAAGAAAAGCTGGGCGCCAGTGGCTCAAGCCTGTAATCCTAGCTACTCAGGAGGCTGAGATCTGAGGATTGCAGTTCAAAGCCAGCCTGGGCAGGAAAGTCCGTGAAATTCTTATCTCCAATAAACTACCAGAAAACCAGAAGTGACGCTGTAGCTCAAATGGTAGAGCACTAGCCTTGAGCTGAAGAGCTGAGGGACAGAGCTCAGGCCCAGAGTTCAAGCCCCACAACCGACGAAAAAAAAAAAAAAAGAATTTTTAAAAAAGACTTGAAGAGCCGGAAGCTGGTGGCTCATTCCTGTAATCCTAGCTACTCAGGAAGCTGAGTTTCTTGGTTCAAAGCCAGCCCGGGCAAGAAAGTCTGCCAGACTTTTTTTTTTTTGGGGGGTCTGGTCGTGGGGCCTGAATTCTGGTCCTGAGCGCTGTCCCTCAGCTCTTCAACTCAAGGTTAATGCTCTACCACTTGAGCCACAGCGCCACTTCCGGCTTTTTTCCTTTTGCTTATGTGGTGCTGAGCAATTGAACCCAGGGCTTCATGCATGCAAGGCAAGCTCTCTACCACTGAGCCACCTTCCCAGCCCCTCTGCCAGACTCTTATCTCCAATTAACCACCAAAAACTGGAAGTGGTGCTGTGGCTCAAGTGGTAGAGTGCTAGTCTTAAGCTGAAGAGCTGAGGGACAGCGCTCAGGCCCAGACAGAGTTCAAGCCCTATGACCGACCAAAAAAAAAAAAAAAGACTTGAAGCTAGGCATATCTGTAATCCTATCTATTCCAAAAGCTAAGACATTCTATGAGAACCCATCTCCCATTAACCAGAAAAATGCCTGACTGGAGGCATGACTTAAGTGATATAGTGCCAGCCATGAGCAAGAAAGCCAATTTAGGCCCTGAGTTTAAGCCCTGGTACCAGCATACGCACACAAAAAATAAGACTTATGGGGCTGGGAAGGTGGCTCAGTGGTAGAGCGCTTGCTTCGCATGCATGAGGCCCTGGGTTCGATTCCTCAGCACCACATAAGCAAAAACAAAAAAGCGGGAAGTGGCGCTTTGGCTCAAATGGTAGAGCGCTAGCCTTGAGCTGAAGAGCTGAGAGATAGCGCCCAGGCCCAGAGTTCAGGCCCCACAACTGGACCCCCTCCCAAAAAAAAATAAGACTTAGAAAGCAGTAATGTAGTGGCATGGATTTGAAAGTGAGCAGTAGTAGCAGCATTGTCCTTGGTTTTCATGTTCAGTATAATCTTTGAAAATGGCAATCGTAGGATCTATCTAGTAAGGTGTTTCCACTGTACTTTTTGCTTATAGGTTATGCAACATCCCAATGAAGGTGCTCTGGTTCTTGGCCTGCACAGCAATGTGAAGGATGTCTCTGTACCTGTGGCAGAAATAAAGATCTACTCCCTGTCCAGCCAGCCTATTGACCATGAAGGAATCAAGTCCAAGCTATCTGGTAAGACTTATATAGTATCTGCAGACCCCATGAGAAATAAGATACTCCATGCCCTTATCTCATGTTAGGAAAAGTGAACAAGGCAAGCCTAAAATGTTCCCAAGCAAGAAAAGCTTGGAATTCCTAAAAATAAAGCATGGCCATGGATATGGCAGAAGCCTTTCTTTCCAGCCCAGTTGTACAGATTCCTGTCTTTCCAATGCTCATAGGCCAGATCTTCCTTAGGGCAAGGCTACCTTACTAGAATTTCTCTTCCAGATCGCTCTCCTGATATTGACAATTACTCTGAGGAAGAGGAGGAAAGTTTCTCATCAGAGCAGGAAGGCAGCGATGATCCATTACATGGGCAGGTAACCTCCCATAGCCCCTTCTTTGGAGTGTCTGAGAAACTTCTAGGATTTTCCAGCCTAATTCTGTACCTTGCCCACTCTCAGGACCTATTCTATGAAGATGAGGATTTGCGGAAAGTAAAGAAGACACGGCGGAAACTTACCTCAACTTCAGCTATCACAAGGGTGAGCTGCCCAGGTCCTAGACCTGACACAGCTGAGATTTTTCAATCTTGCCTGGAAGGGGTATGCTACATTCAGACCTCAGGGAGTTTACACAGCCTACATCATCCATTAATAATTGGTGTGAAGCTGGGCACCAGTCGCTCATGCCTGTAATCCTAGCTACTCAGGAGGGTAAGATCTGAGGATCATGGTTCAAAGCCAGCCTGGGCAAGAAAGTCCCTAGACTCTTATCTCCAATTAACCACCAGAAAACCGGAAGTGCGCTGTGGCTTAAGAGGTAGAGTACTTGCTTTGAGCTGAAGAGCTCAGGGACAGAGCCCAGACCCAGGTTCAAGCCCCATGACTGACAAAAAAAAATGGTGTGAGCCAAGTACTGGTAGTTCATGTCTACAATTCTAGCCACTTGAGAGACTGAGATGGGAATATGGTTTAGTGGTGGAATGCTTGCCTAACATGCATGAAGTCCTAGATTCAATTCTTCAGTAACATGTAATTTTTTTTTAAAGGCTAAGATCTCAAGATCTATGTTCAAGGCCAGCCCAGACACACAGAATTGACCCTCTTACCTTCAATTAACTAGGAAAAAAAAACCAGAGACATGGCTTAAAATAGTAGAGTGCCAACCATGAGCAACCATTGCTAAGAACAAGAGGCCCTGAGTTCAAGCTCTAATACTGACATCGAAGGGGGAGGGATAGAGAAAAGGAGTATGGAAGAAAGAAAGGAGGGAAGGGGAAAAGGGAGAGAAGGAAACGGAAGAGAAGAAAAACTTATGGCCATAAGGTAAGTTAGAGGGCTCAGCACAGAGACCGGACAGGAAGGTTGGACAACTCTACTAGTTCTAACATATAATGACTCAGACTTAGCAAGTAACTATGACACTAGAGTCAGGCAAAATGCCAAGAAACAGGTTTTTGAAGACAGAGCTTATCAGGTGGATTTAGGGAAAGGTATTGCTGAAAGCAACTGTGGGAGGCCCAGTGTAGAGATGTATGTGTCTCTATGTTGTTGTTGTTGTTGTTGTTTTTCAGGGGCGGGTTGTTTTTTGTTTTTGTCAGTCCTAAGGCTTGAACTCCAGGCCTGGGTGCTGTCCCTGAGCCTCTTTGTGTTCAAGGCTAGCATTCTGCCACTTGAGCCACAGCACTACTTCTGGTTTTTGTCTGGTCAATTAGAGATGAGAGTCTCACAGAGACTTTTCTGCCCAGGGCTGGCTTTGAATTATGATCCTCAGATATCAACCTACTGAGAAGTTAGGATTACAGGCGTGAGTTACTGGTGCTGGCAATTTTTGTTTTGTTTTTTAACAAGCAATGGGTTTCTCAGCTGAGGATTGGGGGTTGAGTAGATACAGTTAAGGTTAGAAATAAGACTCAGACTCTTACCTGACTCCTAAGCTTTGTTCTCTAGAAGAAGGGCCATCCAAGAGTGCTAAATTGGGGCGATCTGATTATATTTGCCTCTGGAAAGACTACAGGGAACCCAAGGGAAAATAACTGAACACTGGCCAGGTGGGGAGAAGGCAATTGCAGTGACCCAGAGATGTGAAGGAAAAGCCCGCCTGAAGGCAGTAATATACAGGCAAGAGGTCAGGAGTAGCCAGCACAGGCTGATAGAGTGGTAGGGGGAGACTCCAGGTACAGCTTGGTGATTGGCTGGCTTGTGATGTTGCTAACTTGAATGACAGTGAAGGGGAAGAAGATGAGTGCCACTCTGAGATGGTAAGTATATATGTACAGGGCAAGCTTGAAGGACAAGCAGGTGAGGGCCTGGAGGTACAATCTGGAGTTATCTGCAGGTGGAGGTCCTGGAGACTATTCAGGTCACTTTCAGCTCCACCTGGAGCTCTGAGAACTGCACTGGCTCTGGCTTGTTTTTCCAGATGTTTTCAGTGTGGGAGCAAGAACTATGTTTCCCTTCTCTCTTGTGCTTTCATTGCTCCCTGCAAGGGTAGGCTCATTCACTGTTGGTTGACTTGATAACCAGAAGTAGATGTCTGAGAACTGTTTTATACTTTATCCCCACAGCAACCTAACATCAAACAGAAGTTTGTGGCCCTCCTGAAGCGTTTCAAAGTTTCTGATGAGGTATGACTCTCTTACTTCCAAGGTTAATGGTGAGTAGAATTCCCACAGCTTCACACCTTTCTGTGTAGCCATTTGATGTCACATTTCTGTAGTAATGTTCCTTGCCCCCTCTTCTTGTGTATTAGAGCTGCAAGGGAGGAGGCAGCTGGAGAAGAACTCCGTGCTGCTTGAAAATAAAATGAGAGTTCTCCATGTAGTGTGTAGTTCCATGGCATTCAGGGACAAAGCAGCACAATTGAACTAAACTGTTGGTTAAGCAGCTGAGTCTCTGGCATGGGATGACAATGACAAATATAGCCATCATTGTTTAATATCCTCTCATGTCCCAAAAGGAGCCAGCTGCAGAGAGTTGTAGCCCAAGAGGTGGGCATGTCCTAAGTGGCCATCTCTTAAGTCACTGGAACTGGCCATTGATAGGAAAGCCATCGCTTCCTTGGATCCTCTGATCCTGGTGCCAGTCTTCACAGATTTCTCAATAGACTAAAAAAGAATTGAAGATAAAAATTGTCAATAGAGAGAGTTATTCTATGGGCTTCAGAGAAAAGCAGACTGGCCTACCAGACTCACCTCATGGGTTTTCTTGTGCCTATTCCATAGAAAAGGCATGTTAAAACTCCCTCCTGGTGAAGGTCCTTCCTGGTGTGGATGTCAGGAGGAAACAAGAGGGAAGGTGACCTCACCTGTAAAGGTCACCTGCTTTCAGCATCAGACCACAGAAAAGATGTGACAGCCATTCCAATGAATGTAACATCATGACTTTTCTCTTTAAAGGGAGTACTGAGGAGGTCAATTGACATCTGGCCAATGGGAAAGAAAATGCTTGTTAATAGGGAGTACCCAAAAGTCAAAGGTCCTTTTTCCTCCCACAGGTAGGCTTTGGACTGGAGCATGTATCCCGGGAACAGATTCGGGAAGTAGAAGAGGACTTGGATGAACTGTACGACAGTCTGGAAATGTACAATCCCAGTGACAGCGGCCCTGAAATGGAGGAGACAGAGAGCATCCTCAGCACTCCAAAGCCTAAGCTCAAGTGAGGCCTAGAGCTTCCGTAGGCTTCCTTCCAACACCTCTCCTCCCCAGGCCTATGTTCCCCACACCCTCCCTCATTGCCCTATTCAGGAAATCATTCTTTTTGGGAGGGGATTGAAGATATGAACTGGAGGTTGCACTCAGGTCCTCACACTTACTAGCCACTTAAGCCACACCTCCAGGCCCTTTCTGCTTTATTTTTCATATAGGATCTCATGTTTTTGCCCAGGTCTGATCTCAGACTATGATCCTCCTACCTGTGCTTCACACCTAGCTGGGTTTACAGGCATAAACCATCACACCTGGTTTATTTGCTGAGAAAAGGGGAGCTTGCTAACTTTTTTCCTGGGCTGGCCTCAAACCATAATCCCCTGGATCTCTAACTCCAAGTAGCTGATGTTATAGATGTGATGGTTCGTCCTTTGCTGAGCCTCCAGCTCCCTGGGCAGAGATCAGTTTTTGTCTGTGGCATAAGTCCTGATAGGACTCTCCCGAAGTCCCTGTACCCCAGGCCCCATTTCTCCACCCCCACAGAATCCTTCCTCACCAGTGTCTTTGAGGCCCAGGCTGTTGATCTGCCTTGAGTACCAGCTCCACTCGGCTCTTGTGAGCTGCTGTTCTGAGCCGTGGTTGCCACTGACCCCGGCTGTGCTTCTTCACCGTAGGCCCTTCTTTGAGGGGATGTCGCAGTCCAGCTCACAGACGGAGATTGGCAGCCTCAACAGCAAGGGCAGCCTCGGAAAAGACACCACCAGCCCTGTGAGCAGACCGGTGGCATTGAGGGGTGGGGTGAGGGACCTAGTCTATTAGTTTTACACTCAAGGACCCTGCTTCTCTGAGTGTGGCTCCTTCTGAAAGAGTAGCCTCAGTTTTCCTCCTCTCACTACTGGGCTGAGAATTCAATGCTCAGAGGACACTGCTATGTCCAGTCACTATTCTTTCCCTCCCACCTCCGAACTTTCCTTCTTTCCCCTGTCCATTACACAGTGGCTGAGTGTATGACCCTTGGGAAGGCACTCATTCAGGGGAAAACAATTCTACCTTCCATACTAGGAAATGAACAGAAGGAGCAAAGGGGCCCACAAGGTCTATCTATGCCATCATAAGTAGGTTTTACTGAGTAGAAGTGTCCGAGATACAGTACCCTGTAAGAATGTAGAATTTAGTGGCTAGCTTTCCATTTGCCTGCTGTGCCGAAGGGAAGAGCTGTCTACTGTGGCTCCCAGCCCCCAGCAGCCAGGCATAGGCAGGACCCTGGTAGTGCCAAGCCCATCTCATGCTGGGAAAGCTGTTCTTCCCTTTGATCACAACTAAGGGAAGTGGACATTGCCTATGGTTTCAGAGCAGAGTCGTGGTTTGCTGTTGAAAAACTCATTCTTTTCTGTTGAGAGAAACCAAACACTTCAAGGCCTCCAGTTGCTGCTTTGGTGACAGATGAGATGTACAGTCATTTACTCACCCCAGGGAATACTCAGATCACCTTGAAAATAGGTATTAATTGTAAGGAGATGATCAGAATGTGTGAGGCAATCCATATGTTGAAAAACAGTCTGTAGCTGTAATCCTAGCTACTCAGGAGGCTGAGATCTGAGAATCTCGGTTCAAAGCCAGCCCAGGCAGGAAAGACTGTGAGACTCCTATCTCCAATAAACCACTAGAAAACCGGAAGTGGCGCTGTAGCTCAAGTGGTAGAGCGCTCGCCTTGAGCTGAAGAGCTGAGGGACAGCGCCCAGGCCCAGAGTTCAAGCCCCATGACCGACAAAAAAAAAAAAGAAAAAAGAAAGAAAAAGAAAAACAGTCTGTAGTTGGGCTGGCTCCAGTCCGGAGTGTGCAAACCACCACCTCAAAGGGATATCTGACAGCTGCCTTTCTTCTTGCTGCCACTAGGCGATGCTGTCCCCTAGTTTTTCCCTCTTCCTGGTTAAAGCACAGAGCTGGCCACCAAACCCAACAAGAATTTTATCAGAGGGTGTTAGTGGGGACATGCAGGAAGGAAAACTGCAACTCCACCCAGAATTCCCTCAAGGAAAAGCCTGAGTCCTGCCATTTCAGATCAATATTGACAGCACCTTCATAGTGATCTGTGGAGCCCAGGCCACAGCTGATGTACTACTTGTGTTATGTTAGCGTATGAGTCTCAGGTGCTTATCCCCACAGGGAACTTCAGAATGGAATGATCCTGTCAAATGTAACTGCCCCGTGGACAGAGACCATTGGCTACTAGAGCCAGATTCATCGATGTAAGAGTTCTTCTAGGAAGAAGCCCAGGGTATGGTTGAGGGAGGGCTATTGCAAATAGTGTTCGGGGGATGCCAGACAACATACTGTTGTAACAAATAAGGTATTAGCTGAGCCAGTGCCCAAGAAGTACTAAACATAGCACCGACTATATTATGAATACCTGGTAAATGCTAGTAAGTATTGGTTTTAAGTCAGCAGGGGGAACTATTTCATAACCAAGTGTTTCTGCCATGACAGAATTAGGCTGTAGTTTCTGAATGACAGAATTAGGATGTAATGTACAACATTAAGAGGAGGGAAAATCATCTGATTCCTGGAGCCCCATTAGGTAAAGGTATCAGCTAGGAGGCCAGTTAGCGCAAAGGTCAATGTACTATTAGTCTGTACAGTGTAATGATTTAAGGGCTCCTTGTTCGGGGAAAAAATAGCATATTTATGCAAAGTGAAATATCCACATTTGAATTGTTTTGTTTTATGAGTCAAGGTCTTGCTATTGTAGCCCAAGCTGACCTCAAGCTCAGCCTTCTAAGTGCTGGGATTATAAACCTGTTCTATTACTTCTGGCTCTGAGTTTGAATCTTGACCCCATCATTCCACTGACTGGCACTGGGCAAATTCCTCCTCCATTTCTTCATATGCAAGCAGGTGTAAAAAGCCCAGGACTATATGGAGATGCAATGAGATCTTGTTGGTCAGACCTCTAGTAAGGTACATGCTAATTGATTGCTTTACTGCTTGGGAACCTGTAGTACATGTACACTGCTGTTGCTTTTATTTATTTATTTTTATTTTGGAGCAGTTTCAGTTTTTGACTCCTAAAATTGCAAAAATCTAGATGACTTTTATGTGAGTGCTTCAAGTTCTGATTCCTTTGGTCAGACTGTAGATTCTGTTGTTCCCCTGCTGAGATTTCTATTTTGAAAAGCCCCATATGTCTCAATGTGGGTGTGGAACTTTGGAATCTTTTGGTCTGAGATGCTTTAAGACCAGAACAACAAGACTGCTTTTAGGTGGAGAACTTCCAGGAGGTTGGGAGACACATTAAGTAATACATGTGGAAGGCTCTGTATTTACTGCCTTACCTAGGTAGCCTCTCATCCCATTGCTGATCATTGTTGGTTATCTACTTCCTTTTTTTAATCTTTTCTTTTTGTGGGGGATGGAACTCAGAGCCTTGTGCTTGCTAAGCAAATGCTCTACCCTTAAACTATATAACTAGCCCCTTCCTTTCCTTTCCTTTTGTGGTCTGGGTTTATAGGAAGCCAGCTAGAATACAGACTACCAGTTGCACTGTTGAGAGAGCATTATCAGTATTAATGTTAGAGGCTGTACTTCATTACACATACTCTTCATTAGCTACTGTTGCCTATGGGTACATGCTATATACTGTTGAGGCCTAATGAGTCACTGCTAGGACCAAACAATTAGACAGATATAGCTGGAATACTGTGAGGGTAACTGCAGGTCTGGGTAACAAAAGCCCTTTGGAAGCCTGGAAGCAGCCTGGTCTGCCTGGTTGTGAGCCATGACATAGGCCAAGAGGTCTTAAGCCCTGAGGTTACAGGTCTAAGGTGTGTTAGATTTGTCTTGAAGCTTACTTTGGATAGTAGTTCTCCACTGGGGATGACTTCTTTTCCCAGGGAGTACCTGTCAATGATTGAAGGCATTTTTGGTTATAACCAATAGAGAAGGCTGCTACTGTAATAGTTTTACTAATTTATTCAAAGAAATGACTGCATGGTTGAAAGGAAATGGGATATCCTGCATATTTTCTGCCTCCTTTGGTTCCTTAGGAGAAAGAGATTCATTGAGGCCAGTGCCTTACCAACTTCCCCAGCCTGCAACCCAAGCTACTCATGACTGACTTGGATGTCTACTTAGACAAAAGCCATATTAGCAGATTGGATTATCTGACTATGTATCTATGCTACAAAATAAACTTTTACTATTTATGAGGAATGCCAATAAGATTTGAGACAAATAGAGAATTCATACCTAAATGGCTTTATACTGGCCATCTTTTTGCTTGTATGTTCTGTTAGAGGACTTTCTGCATATTTGTACCAAGCAAAAAGCACATGGTTACTATGGATATCTTTTAATCTCAGAATGAAAGACATGAATTATGAGAGTCCCTTGTCTGACAACAAAGGTGGCCCATATGTCTTGTAGAGCAAGAGTGTTCACTGCATCAAGAAGAAAGACTATAGATCTAATAACAAACCTTCTAACTCTGAGCCCCTCTTCCCTAGTGACATCTCTGTCATTGACCTACTGATTTTTAAAAGAATGATCTCTTTGAACCTTTGTTTTCATAAAATATCTTCCCTTATAAGATGAAACCCTTAAAGGATGAAGACTAAGTGAAAATGTTTTAAGCTTCTTAGATACCTTATAAAACAAATTATAGCAATGGTTTGCTTTGGGTTTTTTTGTTTTTTTGATGAGTGATAGAAATTATTTTAATTTTTTGCAGATGGAATTGGCTGCTTTAGAAAAAGTCAAATCTACTTGGACTAAAAACCAAGATGACAGCTTGACTGAAACAGACACTCTGGTATGTATGGCTCAGTTTCCTATCTTAGCTACTCAGATAGTCTTTGTAAAACCTTTAAAAATATATGCAATCTGTGTGTATCACCTTTAGAATAAGAACATATATATATATGTATATGTATTTATACATATACATATATATATATATATATATATATATATATATATATATATATATATATATATATATATATACATGCAAGAGAAGCTGGGTGACAGTGGCTCATGCCTTAATCCTAGCTACTCAAAAGGCTGAAATCTGAGGATTGTGGTTCCAAACAAGTCCCCCTAGAAGGAAAGTCCTTGGGACTTTTTGTTGTTGTTGTTGGTCGTGGGGCTTGAACTCTGGGCCTGTTCACTGGCCTTCAGCTCTTCAGCTCAAGGCCAGCGCCCCACCATTGAGCAACAGCGCCACTTCTAGCTTTTTCTGCTTATGTGATGCTGAAGAATCAAAACCCAGGGCCTCCTGTATGAAAGGCAAGCACTCTACCACTGAGCCACCTTCCCAGCCCTCCTTGCGACTCATATCTAAATTAACCAGCAAAAAAACAAGCTATGGCTCAAGTGGTAGAGCACTAGCCTTGAGTAAAAAAGCTCAGGGATAGCACCCAGGCCCTGAGTTCAAGCCCAAGGACCAGCACCAAAAAAAAAAAAAAGACTTGCAGGACTACCTTGGGAATTAGGCCTAAATTTGTAGACTTGTAAATGACCTTCCGTTTCTCCCTTCTGAAATCATTACTCACGGTCTAGAATCTAGCCTAGAGACTAGGTCATTCTTCAAACCAGAAATGGCCCCACTCTGCCTTTTATTTATTTTTGAGAGTGGGGGAGGGAGAGAGAGGGAGAGAGAGTACAGGGCTTGAACTTAGGGCCTCATACCCAATGGTTTTGTGTGTGTGTGTGTGTGTGTGTGTGTGTGTGCGTGCTGTTTGGGTGCATATCCTGGGGTTTGAGCTTAGGGACTGGGTACTGTCTTGGAGTTGTTGTTTTTTTTTTACTCAAAGCTATCACTCTACCACTTGAGCCAATTCTATTTCTGGCATTTTGTTGATTAATTGGAGATAAGAGTCTCACAGATTTTCCTATCCTGTCTGGCTTTGAACTGCAATTCTTAGACCTCAGCCTTCTGCTTAGCTTGATTATAGGCATGAGCCACCAGCACCCATCCCTTACTCATTTTTTAGTTCATGACTGCTGCTCTATCACTTGAGTCCCACTTCCAGTCTGGCACTTTTTTTTTTTTGGGTCCGTTCGTGGGGCCTGAACTCTGGGCCTGAGCACTGTCCCTCAGCTCTTCAGCTCAAGGCTAGTGCTCTACCACTTGAGCCACAGCACCACTTCCGGCTTTTTTCTTTTTGCTTATGTGGTGCTGAGGAATCGAACCCAGGGCCTCAGGCATGCAAGGCAAGCGCTCTACCACTGAGCCAACTTCCCAGCCCCAGTCTGGCACATTTTACTGGTTAATTGGAGATAAGAGTCATGTTTTTTGGCCAAGCTGGTTTTGCACACTGATGCTCAGATCTCAGCCTTCTGAGTAAGATTACAGAGGTGAGCCACTAATACCTGGCTTTTTAAAATTAGTATACATTAGCTGTGCAAGCGGGGATTTCACTGTGGCAGTTCCACAAAGTGTATAATATATTCCAATCAGCTTCCCCCTCTTTAGAACTCTCTTCCCATTCTGCCTGTTCAATTAGAGCTATGAAGTGCTCACTTGGAGCTGAATGCTGGTAGCTCACATCTTTATTATTCTTTTTTGGGGGGTCTGGTCGTGGGGCCTGAACTCTGGGCCTGGGCACTGTCCCTCAGCTCTTCAGCTCAAGGCTAGCACTCTACAATTTGAGCCACAGCACCACTTCTGGCTTTTTTCTTTTTGCTTATGTGGTGCTGAGGAATTGAACCCAGGGCCTCAGGCATGCAAGGCAAGAGCTCTACCACTGAGCCACCTTCCCAGCCCCTCACACCTGTAATCTTTTTTTTGGGGGGGTCCGGTCGTGGGGCCTAACCTCTGGGCCTGGGCGCTGTCCCTCAGCTCTTCAGCTCAAGGCTAGTGCTCTACCACTTGAGCCACAGCGCCACTTCCGGCTTTTTTTTCTTTTTGCTTATATGGTGCTGAGGAATCGAACCCAGGGCCTCAGGCATGCAAGGCAAGCGCTCTACCACTGAGCCACCTTCCCAGTCCTCACACCTGTAATCTTAACAGTCAGAAGGCTGAGATCTGAGAATTGAGATTCAAAGCTAGTCTGGACTAGCTTTGAAAGTTCTTAAGACTGTTACCTCCAATTAACCATTAAAAAAAAGCTGAAGCCAGGCAGTGGTGGCTCACACCTGTAATCCTAGCTACTCAGGAGGCTGAGATCTAAGGATCATGGTTTAAAGCCAGCCCAGGCAGGAAAGTCTGTGAGATTCTTATGTCCAATTAACCCCCAGAAGCCAGAAGTGGCACTGTAGTTCAAGTTGCAGAGTGTTTGCCTTGAGATCAGGGATAGCACTCAGGCCCAGATTTCAAGCCTCACAACTGAGACACACTCGCGCGCGTGCACACACACACACGTGCACGCACACACACACACACACACACACACACAGCTGAAAGTGAAGCTATGGCTCAAGTGGAAAAACACTAGCCTTTTTTTTCCTTCACCAGTCCTGGGGCTTGAATTCAGGTCCTGAGCACTATCCCTGAGCACTATCCCTGAGCTTTCTTTTGCTCAAGGCTAGCACTCTACCACCTGAACCACAGCACAACTTCTAGCTTTTTTGTTTATGTGATACTGAGGCATTGAACCCAGGATTTCATGCATGCTAGACAAGCATTCTACCACTAAGGCACGTTCCCAGCCCAGAACACTAGCCATGACAGACAATAGGAACATGTAGTTAACTTGAAGAGCAAATTCTCCATTAAGTAAAGTAAGAGTTTTTAGACCATGCATTTCTAGGAAGACAGCAAATGACTCCTAGTGGTAGGGAAGGTTCTTAGCAGGGCTCCAGAGGTCAGTGGGTGAGAGGTAACCTTTGCTTCTTTCTTCATGGCAGGAAATTACTGACCAGGACATGTTTGGTGATGTGAGCACAAGTCTGGTTGTTCCAGAGAAAGTCAAAACACCTATGAAATCCAGCAAAACAGATCTACAGGGCTCTGCCTCCCCCAGGTACTCCAGACTACAGGGACACAAGTACTATAGACTTGCAAGCATACCTGGTACCAGCTCCATAACCTGTGGAGGGTGTGGGCTGGTATAGCTTTGAGGTTGAGGGACTATGTAACCCTCTCATGCTCTCCATCAGCAAAGTGGAAGGAACACACACTCCCAGGCAGAAGAGAAGCACTCCTCTGAAGGAGCGACAGCTCTCCAAGCCACTGAGCGAGAGGACCAACAGCTCCGATAGTGAGCGTTCACCTGACCTGGGCCACAGCACACAGGTACCTACAGTCCCCCAGCAAGACCAGGTCCTCCAGACTACCTAGGCTTTAGTCTCCTCCGTCTCTTGTCCTTCTTGAACAGCTAGACAGAAGAAAGGAATATATGAAGTGCTGTCTATAAAAAGGCATTCTGAAAGACCTAAGTTAAAGGAGCCCAACACATTTATTTTTCACTGCCAATGTGTAATTGGGCTTCTGATTGATTTGTGGGATCTGGAGAAAGCACAAGAATGGAGGCATCATCTCCCTGCCAGGGCCATTTCCCACCACTCTCCAGTCTTAGGGTGCTGGAAAAGAGCTGGAAAGAAACAAGATTTCGGGAGTATCCTCTCTACAGACTTGGAGAAGAGTTCTTAGCTGCAGAGCTGGCATTCCTTCCAAGTCCTGGAGTTAAGCAGCCAGTCTGATCACTTTCCTAATAAATATTGTGGAGAGAAATGTTTGGGTCAGTATGGCTTCCTGAGTTTGATGCTGTTACAGAGCTGCAAATGAACCTGAGACTAGAATAGCCAAGCTCCCTGGGTGAGGTATTGTCCTTCTTGTTAATCACTGTTCCTAAAATGTCCTTATTCACTGTGAGTCCCATATATTGCCTCCACCCTCATTATTTCTCTCCCCACTGCCCTTGATGTCATTCGCTTGCTGCTCTAACTCCTCTGCTTCTGCCATCCTGGCACTATATCTTTGCCTCACAGACTGTCCCCAGCAGGATCCCACAGTGACTCTCAGTCTGTTCCTCATCTCTATTTTGGTCTAGGCAATGGGAGAGTGTCTCCTTTACAAATTCCTGGTGTCTGCACTGTCTGAATACCTGTGCCAAGGGTTCTCCCCACCTTCACCCCCGGGTGCCTAACAGACACTCCTTACAGATTCCAAGAAAGGTGGTATATGACCAGCTGAATCAGATCCTGGTGTCCGATGCAGCCCTCCCAGAAAATGTCATCCTGGTGAATACTACCGACTGGCAAGGCCAGGTAAAGCATTGAGAACCTCAATTCTTAATCTGAGAGGGGTCTGCAGATGGGGAAGCAGGAGAGTAACCCCATCTCTAAGCCTCTCCTAAGCCAAGCCTGGAGCTCTGAGTTTCTGTCTTCTGTCCAATCTATGAATCTTCCATCACTAACTTTTCTTTACCTCAGCTTCCTTATCTGTTTAAAAAGAAAGAAAGAAAGAAAAACCAAGCAATAAGCATTTGGTCTGGGTTGCCCTTCTTCAACCCCACCAGAATTAGGCAAGTGTCTACAGTAACACCAAATGCTATAACATGCTTGGGGCTATCCCTGATTTCTGTGACCGCACTTCAACAGTGGCAGAGCAGACCTGCCTGTCTCTCACCATCCACCCTGTGATAGTCTGGTGCCAGAGGTGCTAGACATGGTTGACATTTGAAGCCCCAAAACTAACCCTCCCACCTCTCATAGCATGTCTCCCTGAAGTCTGCCCCACCTTTCCCTACTCTATGACTGCCCCTGCCTGGCAACCTGATCACCTCTGCCCAGTGTTGCCCAGAAAGCAGGCAGGGACTTAGCATTTGTGGGGCCTTGCACTCACCTGAATCCCTGTCCTTTTTCTATCACAGTATGTGGCTGAGCTGCTCCAGGACCAGCGGAAACCCGTCGTGTGCACATGTTCCACCGTGGAAGTCCAAGCTGTGCTGTCTGCCCTGCTCACCCGGATTCAGCGCTAGTAAGTGCTCTGGCCTGCTATTTTGGCATTCCCTCCACCTCATGTTTTCACTCTGACTTGGAGGATAGGACCTGTTGGCTTCATCAGATCAGGGTATATGTTGACAGGAAGCAACAAAAGGCTGTAGTGTCTAGTAGCCAGGATAGATTATTAACTTCTGAGCCCACTACTTTCTTGCCCAGACTGTTGCCTTGCCCCTTTCTTAAATTTATAAGGAAGAGAGAGTTTAAATAAGATCTTTTACTTTGTCCTGCGAGCTATAATGAACTGCTTGATGATCAAGAGTCAGTGCTCTCCTTCTCCAGGGCTTCTGAGAGACCTGGAATCCCCTCCCACGCAACAGAGAGTGGGGCAATTCCAGCTGACTGTGGGCTTCCCAGGTAGCACTGCCTTAGGATTCCTTATTACCCATCCCTGTTAGCCTGGCCCTTCTTTCTTCTTCATGGGCAGGTCTCTCCCTCTTGAGCAGTGCTATAGTTTATTGCCTCCCAGTATTGCTTAGTGGATTTGCTTTCCCCTGTGGCTTCTTGGGGTATATGGAGTCAAAAGCTTAGGACCTTCCCTGAGCAGGATCCTGGTAAGCCCCAAGCATGGTGTGTGAAGACCCCCTTTCTTTCCAGCTGCAACTGCAATTCGTCCATGCCAAGGCCAGTCAAAGTGGCAGCTGTGGGAGGCCAGAGTTACCTGAGCTCCATCCTCCGGTTCTTTGTCAAGTCTTTGGCCAGCAAGACTTCAGATTGGCTGGGCTACATGCGTTTCCTCATCATTCCCCTTGGTAAAGTTGTGCAGTGTCCCAGAGGGTGTGGCACTCATGAGGCCTCTACAAGCAGATCTGACTCTGCAGCAGCATGGGGCATTGATCCTAGGACAAACCAAGGAAACCAAAAGCCAGAGCCATGCTTGGGCCAACTCCTTCCATCATGCCACCCACTAACCCATTTACCTTGTCTGGTTTCCATCTACTAGGTTCTCACCCAGTGGCCAAATACTTGGGCTCAGTTGACAGTAGATACAGCAGCACCTTCCTTGATTCTGGCTGGAGAGACCTTTTCAGCCGCTCAGAGCCCCCAGTATCAGGTAAAGGCCCTTGGTAAGGGAATCCCTGCCAGGAGTGTAGCACCCGGTTCCTGACAGCCAACCACTGCTGAAGGTTACCTTCACCCTGTGGCTCACCATCAGCCAGCCACTGTGCCAGTTCACTTTCCCAGTGAGTGTCCATTGAGGGAGGCACATCCTGTGTAGCCCTCCCTTTACCCAGAAGTAAGAGGTCATGCTGGGCTGGCAGATGTAAAGATGAGTAGGAAGTAGTCATTCTCTAGATAAATATGTGCCACCAAACCAGCAGCTGTCCTTCTGAACAGCCAGTGTTAGTAGTGGTAGCATCAGAGGGAGGCCGAGATGGAATGCAGAAGACCATGTTTAAATGTATAACTCCTTTGATTCATAGCCAAGGGAACTTCAGAACCCTTTCTCTACCTCAGCTCTGCAGGTCCTCACCTAGCTCTTGGGGAAAGGGAGGAGGAGCCAAGTGTTTGCTGAATTGAATGAGTACTTTCCTTCTGGTTTATTGTAGAGTCACTGGATGTGGTGGGACGTGTGATGCAGTATGTCAATGGAGCAGCTACAACGCACCAGCTCCCTGTGGCTGAAGCCATGCTGACCTGCAGGCATAAGTTGTAAGTCTTAGTTTGGGAGATTTCTTTAAAATTCATTGGATGGGCCATTGGCCAGTGGCTCATGCCTATAATCCTAGTTACTCAAGAGGCTGAGATCTGAGGATCACAGTTCAAGCCAGCCAAGGCAGGAGAGTCCTCTATGAGACTCTTACCTCCAATTAACCACCAAAAACGCCATACATAAGGCTGTAGCTAAAGTGGTAGAATGCTAGCCTTGAGCAAATAAGCTCAGAGACAGTGCTCAGGCCCTGAGTTCAAGTCCCAGGATCCAGCACCAAAAACAAATAGCATTAGGTGATCTAGGGGAATCTTCAGTCTTTCCATTTTTCACATTCTCCTCCACACTTTGTTTCCTGTCAAAGGAGCACAAGAAATGTAAATAATTTTTTCTGTCTCCAATCTAGACATTCACTCCCTTGTCCTGGGCCTTCTCTGGCATGGGTTTAGGTTAGGTTTTTTTGTTTGTTTTGTATTGTTTTGTTTTGTTGTCGGTCGTGAGACTTGAACTCTGGGCTTAGGCGCTGTCCCTGCGCTCTTCAGCTCAAGGCGAGTGCTCTACCACTTGAGCCACAGTGCCACTTCTGGTTTTCTAGGCGTTTATTGGAGATAAGTGTCTCACAGACTTCCTGCCCGGGCTGGCTTTGAATTGCAATCCTCAGATCTCAGCCTCCAGAGTAGCTAGGATTACAGGCATGAGCCACCAGCGCCCGGCTAGGGTTAGTTATTTCTTTCCCTGGTGGCTGAAACTAACCAGGGAAGTAGGCAGTGTAGTTTGTACAGTCATATCTTTTCCCCCTCATTCTGTACACTTGCCTCCATGTGGTATGACAGGAATATGTGCTGGACTCCTCTGAGCCATGAAACAATGTGGAAAGCTTATTTCCCCAGTACTCTGTTCAGTTGAACCCACTAAATATAAAACTTTCCTGTCTCCCAACAGCCCTGATGAAGACTCCTATCAGAAGTTTATTCCTTTCATTGGCGTGAGTACTACCCTCTGATCTCCCATCTTCCTGTCTTCCCTTCACACACACTAAATACGATTCATCAAATTCATCTAGAACAGTGGCTGCATGAGGATGAATTTTGTCACACACACCCCTCCCTGCCCCAAGAGGTGGATATCTGACAGCCCCTAGAGACAGTTTTGGTTATCACAGCTGGGAACAAAAGTGCTCCTGGCATACCATCCAGTGACATAGGACAGTCCCCACCTGGAGAAGGATGCTGCCCAAGGGTCAGTAGTGGCTACAGGGAGGAACACTGGTCTGGGATGCATTTGGCTGTTCATCTGAAGGTCCTTCGTTCCCAAATCATCAACTGTGCCCACATTCATCATTGGTATCTCCTGTTTATTGCACCAGGCCTTGAACGTGGTATATGTGGACCTCTGTAGGAATGTCCAGAGTATGGCTTCTTCAGGCTCATGGACAAAGAGTGGCTTTGAAAAGTAGAGCATGGTATTCCAGGAGAGGTCCTAGAGTCAGGCCCTGAGTTAAGGACTCTTCCTTTCTGAGTAGTGAATTTTGAAATAAAGGAGGAGCCTCACAGATGACATTATGTCAACTGTACTGGCCTTTGTTCATTTGGCAACAACTGGGCCTGTACATAGGGGGCTTAGCAGAGACAGCACCACCCAAAAGAAGACTGGAAACATTAATTTTTCACTGTGCTGTTTTCCCTCCTAAGACAGCTGTGTCACTTTCTGTAATTTACTTCCAGAGCCCAATAGCTTTCAGAAGGGAAAGGGCAGTGCAGATGAGGGACATTAGCCCCTATTTTCCAAGAGTAGCCCCTACTATTCAGTGCATCCAAGAATGTGGTATCCTGCGTGACCTCAACTGGAGAAATGAGCAGCCCTGTTCAGGCTTTGCCAGCTGCCCATCTAGCAATACATTTGCTACCTGGTTTGCACTGGGGCTATTCATAGAGACACGCCACACAGCCCAGGCAGGCAGCATACCTCATGCCCTCATGGAACTGGAGGCCTGAGTCACTACTCACTGTAGTCTCACAGCCAAGTGAGAGATTCAAAATAAAAAACCTTTAAGGAGATGTGCCTCAGTTGTAGTATGTGAGGCCCTGGGTTTGATCCTCAGCACCAGGGAGAAAAAAAAGGAGTTGCTAGCAGACACTGACAGAATGCCTGGGATACTAAGGGAGATCTAATCCAGGAAGCTCTAAAATGTTGATTTGTTTCTCTTGGTCAGTAAAGAGACCCAGCCAGAAGTTCACCCAGGACCTACTGTAGGGAGGTATTGGGTCTCTGCTCTAGTAGCCCCTAGCCAGCTTCTATATAGCTCTGCCCCAATCTGGGTCAGGTGTCAGGTACAAGGCCTCACCTGCCACTCAGACCACCAGGGATAGACCAAGTTGTTTCTAGCTCAGTGCTTCTCTGGCCACTGGAGGGCCTCCTCCCTCCTCTCAAGGATTCTCTATGGGATGATAATAAATATGGTCAAAATAAATTGTTTTTATCTATAAAAATAGAGCAGTAAAACCTGTTGAAATTATTTTGGAAAGGGAGAAAGGAAGAAGAAGTAAGGGGGAAGGGGGGGGAAGGAGAAGGATTAGGATGGGGGGGGGAGGGAGGCTGGGAAGGGATGTGAAGGGTAAACAAAGGAGGAGGCTGCAATGCTTGGTAAGAAATGTATGCATTATCCTGCCCATGTAATTGTAACCCCTCTGTACAGTATGTTCACAAATAAAATTAAATTAAAAAAAAAAGAAAGTAAGACTATAATATATTGTAAAAGTGTGGGAATGTAACAACGAAATTTACTCCTGCCTCCACTCCTTCAACCCACCCCAGATAACTAATTTAAGCTAATGAGAGAGGGAGATAGAGAAGGGGAGGGAAGGGGAGAGAGAGAGAGGGGAGAAAAAGAGGAGGAGAGGAGAAAAGATTCTGGTGGCTCATGCCTGTAATCCTAGCCACTTAGGAGGTTGAGATTTGAGGATCATGGCTCAAAGCCATCCCCAGTAGGAAAGTCCATGAGGCTCCACCTCTAATTAAAACCAGAAAACAGGAAGTGATATTGTGGCTCAAAGTAGTAGGGCCCTAGTCCTGAACAAAAATGCTCAGGGACAGCACCCAGGCCCTGAGTTCAAGCCCCATGACTGACCAAGAAAAAAAGCCAGGCACTGGTGGCTCATACCTGTAATCTTAGCTACTCAGGAGGCTGAGATCTGAGAATTGCAGTTCAAAGCCAGTCTGGACAGGAAAAGTCCATGATACTCTTATCTCCAGTTAACCACCAGAAAACCAGAAGTGGCACTGTGGCTCCAGTTGTAGAGCGCTAGCCCTGAGTTGACAAGCTCAGCACCTAGGCCCCAGAGTAAAAGCCCCACGACCGACAAAATAATTCTCTATGGGGAATCTAATTCCCGAGACCTCCCTCCACTGCTCCTCCATATTCCAGAAGGCAGAAATGGAAGGGATAGTGTCAGTACCTTCAGCCCATATGATCTTTGAAAAATGAGATCAGGACACATAATTACTTTGTCAAAGTGAGCTTTACCCTTGTTCCTAGAGAAGTACCAAGTTTCATGAGTCTGTCTCATTTGTTTTGAACTACTTTTCTTACTACTTTCTTTTGATTGCCTTTTTCTTCCTCTTCTCTCCTGCCTTGTGCTGGGGCTTAAACTTAGGGCCTTGTATTCACTCAGCTTACTTCCTCACCACAGCTGATGCTCTGCCACTTGAGCCACATCTTTAAGTCCAGCATTTTGCTGGTTAATTAGAAATGGAATCTCAGGGACTTTTCTGTCTGCACCGGCTTTAAATCAGTTAATCCTCAGGTCTCGGCCTCCTGAGTAGCTAGGATTACAAGAATGAGCCACCAGTATCCAACTTTTTCTTTTCTTGTGCTAAGATATAGAACCTAGAGCCCCACACAGGCTAAATCTGTACCCTTAGCCACTGGTCTGAGTTTTGTTGTTGTTTTTTTTTCCTATATCTCTTAAGCCAACTGGGTTGCTCCTGAAGTATAAAGATTTTCAGAGGGGCTGGGGAGGTGGCTCAGTGGTAGAGTGCTTGCTTTGCATGCATGAGGCCCTGGGTTCAATTCCTCAGTACCACATAAGCAAAAAGAAAAAAGCTGGAAGTGGCACTGTGGCTCAAGTGGTAGAGCGCTAGCCTTGAGCTGAAGAGCTGAGGGATAGCGCCCAGGCCCAGAGTTCAGGCCCCACAACAGACCAAAAAAAAATTTTTCAGAGTATGATAACACACCATTTGGTTGTGGCTGTAGTGCTCAACACCTGTGTCTGGTTAGACTGGAGTTTGCCATCATGATGGAGGACCTAATGAGTGTCCTTTTCCCCCTTCAGGTGGTAAAGGTGGGCCTTGTTGAAGACTCACCATCTACTGCAGGTAAGCTATAGCTCCTTTACTTCTCTCGGTAAAGATAAAGGTTTTTCCAGTCTTGTCTCTGAGCTAATGAGGCAGAAATGGATGGCATTAGATGTGGTGGGGAGGCAGTTTAAACAGGACCATGTTGGCCTCACTCCTCATTGTCAGGGGGGAAAGCAGGAGAACTCTGAGGCCCAAGAAGAAATCAACACTGCCTCTGAGAGGAGAATACGCCTCATCGTTGCCCCTAGAAGGTCAGGGGTGGCTGCTTCTGGTCAACTGTGTTTGTCTCCCTGACAGGTGATGGGGATGATTCACCCGTGGTCAGCCTTACCGTGCCCTCTACATCACCACCCTCCAGCTCGGGCCTGAGCCGAGATGCCACAGCCACCCCGCCCTCCTCTCCATCTATGAGCAGTGCCCTTGCCATCGTAGGGTAAGATTATTGTCCACACCAGTCTTCTCTCTCTCTCTCTCTCTCTCTCTCTCTCTCTCTCGCCCACACCAGTTTTTTTTTCTGCTTTGTCTGTCCTTTCCCACCCCCACCCCCCACGCCAGTAGGGCCTAGCCACCTAGCTCACTTCCCAGGCACAGGATATTGGCCAAAGATAGACACACTGGATTAGAATACAGAGGCAGGTCAGCTGGCTGGCCAGGCCATCAAATGCTTAGTGAAATGGAAGGAGTCTCTCTGCCCTATCTGTCTTGCAGAGTTGCAGGGTCAGATGAGATGGTGTTGTCAGAGGCCCTGCGTATTTGTGAAGTGTGCTGTGGGTGGGTATCTAGTTATGAGACCTCTCAGGGTAGTAGGAGTGTGTGTGCTTGTGGTGAAACACACCTGAGTTTATGTAGTAGATATGAACTGGCCTCACAGGGCTGTCACACAGCCTAAATGGGAACAGAGGGTCATGTGTGGGGCACACTGCCACATAACATTTCCTGTACACCAGTCTAAAGGAGGCCCTGGACCTACAGAGCTGATGGTTAATGGTACCTGCCGTCCTGAAGTTTAGGTTCTAGGTCTGGCTTGTGCTACAAAAGTGGCAAACTTCATAACTAAGAGATTACAAGGTCTCTGTCACTCTCTCTCTCTCCCCCTCTCTCTCTTCCTTTCTTTCCCTCTCTCTCCTTACTCCCTGCTTCCCTCCCTCCCCCCCCCCCCACTTTCTCTCTCTCTCCCCTCAGGGCCTCACTCTTGCTAAGTATACACTCTACCCCTTGAGCCACAGCCCTAGCCTGAGATCTCAGATTATCTGAAGTTAAGGTGGAAGGCCAAGGAGCTGGCCTTTTTTCCCCTGCCATGTGTAAAGAAGAGCAAGCAGTGACAGGCACAGGGCTGAAGGAAACCTCTACATGAGAGAAGATCAGGCCATGGAACAAAAAGTAGAGTACTTCCTTCCTCTACCCTGGCTTTCCTCTTTCTTTGTAGCACTTGAGAGGAAGGCAATGGCCAATAGCTTTTCCAGAAGCATCAATGACAGTGTCATAGTCCCTAAAGGAAACACCTGTTCTAGACCTCAAATCCCAATCCCAATCCTGTCCTTCCTCTTCTTAGTGTCTTTTATTATCTTCTACTGATTTGTCTAGAAGGAACAGAGCCACATTCTGCCCCAGGGACCTGGCACTCCAGGCTTCTAAGGGACCTGTTTTCCCTAATTGCATGAAGGATTTCTGTGCAGCGTAGATTTGGGGGTGATTGGACCAAATCTTACTTTGACCTCTCTTCTCATCCCATTTTTTTTAATGGAGCCACTGAAATGAGGCAGAAAGAAAAGTCAGATGACTCTCATAGCCTAGGTACTGATTGTGTCTGACACCTTCTTTCAAGAAAACACTCCTTTTCCCCAGGGAGCTAAAATTATCATTGAGCTAAAAGTGTCATACATAAGCAAAGGCACAGAGCAGCATCCATCAGCTCCCAAGGCTTCTCTGAAGTCATAGTGGTGCTTCTGCCTGTGCCTGCAGTTTCTCTAGCCCTCTGCTTGGTGTGGGCCACAGCTTTTTTGTTTGCTCCTGTGTATGTCCATATATGTACATGTGCGTCCATGTGCACTCCTTCCAAAGCTTTCTGGTCTGCTGCTCTTCTCATCCTGATAGTTTCATTTGGTCCTCTTACTGTAATTTGGGCCTTTATCTTCTCTGGCTTTCCCCTCAGATAAGCCTGACTCTCCATCCCATGACCTGATTTATCATGGCTAAAGGGTACAAGATCCATGTAGCTGATTCTCTCCCCATCTCCCACTCCCAGAGCTGCTGGTCACCCATCCCTCATGGGGCTCCTGTAGTTAGGCCCTGAGGACAAAGCTGACATCTTGTTTTTATTCCCCTTCTCCAGGAGCCCCAACAGCCCATATGGAGATGTGATTGGCCTTCAAGTGGACTACTGGCTGGGCCACCCCGGAGAGCGGAGGAGGGAAGGAGACAAGAGGGATGCCAGCTCAAAGAACACCCTCAAGAGTGTCTTCCGCTCAGTGCAAGTTTCCCGTCTGCCCCACGGTGGGGAAGCTCAGCTTTCTGGCACTATGGCAATGACTGTGGTCACCAAAGAGAAAAACAAGAAAGGTAAATTCCACCAGAGGCCAAGAAAGACCAGAGGCCATAGGACTCCCCTCTCCTCTCTCGATCTGGAACAGAGTGTTTCTGGATGAATCATATAGTTGGCAGGGCCTGTAAGGCAGTCCTATCTCACATGGGAGACATGAGCATTTGTCTGTAATACAAGAAAACAGGGTCCTTGCTTCTGAGCAGCAGATGGTAGGATCAGGCAGTGTGGAAATCTGCTCTCAGCAGATCTTAGGGTCACTGCAGAGTGAAAGAAGCCTTTTTTTTTTTTTTTTTTTTTTTTGGGGGGGGGTCTGGTCATGGGACCTGAACTCTGGGCCTGGGCGCTGTCCCTCAGCTCTTCAGCTCAAGGCTAACGCTCTACCACTTGAGCCACAGCGCCACTTCCGGCTTTTTTCTTCTTGCTTATGTGGTGCTGAGGAATCGAACCCAAGGCCTCAGGCATGCAAGGCAAGCGCTCTACCACTGAGCCACCTTCCCAGCCCCTGAAAGAAGCCTTTCTGACTGCTTCCCTAAGTGGACTGAAGTTGTAAGAAGTCCAGCTCCATGACCCAGCCCATATTCACCATGGTGACTATGGCAGTGCAGAGAGCTCACGCCCAGTACTGGTGGCCAATCCAGAGAGGCCTCCTGAACAGAGAGACATGGTTGTCTTAAGAATGAAGTGGAGGGGCTGGGAAGGTGGCTCAGTGGTAGAGTGCTTGCCTTGCATTCATGAGGCCCTGGGTTCGATTCCTCAGCACCACATAAGCAAGAAGAAAAAAGCCAGAAGTGGCGCTGTGGCTCAAGTGGTAGAGCGCTAGCTTTGAGCTGAAGAGCTGAGGGACAGCGCCCAGACCCAGAGTTCAGGCCCCATGACCGGACCAAAAAAAAAAGAATGAAGTGGAGCTGGGTGTTGGTGGCTCATGCTTGTAATCCTAGCTACTCAAGAGGATGAGGTCTGAGGATCATAGTTCAAAGCCAGCCTAGGTAGAAAGGCCATGAGACTCTCCAATCTGTCACCAAAACTGCTGGAAGAGGAGCTGTAGCTAAAGTGGTAGAGCCCTAGCTTTGAGCAAAAGCTCAGAGACAACACCCAGACCTAGAGTTTAAGCCCCAGGACCAGCAAAAAAAATGAATGAAGAAGGAAGAGGAGCCAAGCATAGTGATACATATCTGCTTTTTTTGGTTGGTTGGTTGGTTTTTGTTTTTTTTGGTTGGTCGTGGGGCTTGAACTCTGGGCCTGGGCTGTCCCTCAGCTCTTCGGCTCAAGGCTAGTACTCTACCACTTGAACCACAGCACCACTTCCGGTTTTCTGGTGGTTAATTGGAGATAAGAGTCTCACAGACGGGCTGGGAAGGTGGCTCAGTGGTAGAGCATTTGCCTTGCATGCATGAGGCCCTGGGTTCGATTCCTCAGCACCACATAAGCAAAAAGAGAAAAGCTGGAAGTGGTGCTGTGGCTCAAGTGGTAGAGCACTAGCCTTGAGCTGAAGAGCTGAGGGACAGTGCCCAGGCTCAGAGTTCAGGCCCCATGACTGGACCCAAAAAAAAAAAAAAAAAGTCTCACAGACTTTCCTGCCAGGCTGGCTTTGAACAGCAGTCCTCAGATCTCTCAGATCTCATCCTCCTGAGTAGCTAGGATTACAGGCATGAGCCACCAGCACCCAGTGTGATACATATCTGTAACCCCAGTTTTCAGGAGGATGAAGCAGAAACTGAAGGATACTTGTAACTCCAATATTTGGGAGGGTGAAGCAGAGTTTTTTAAAGTCCAGCCTAGGTTACATGGCTAGGTCCTATCTTAAAAAAAAAAAATTAGGGTGCCAGTGGTTCACGCCTGAAATCCTAACTACTCAGCAGACTGAGATCCAAGGATTGAGGTTTGAAGCCAGTCTGGATAGGAAAGTCCATGAGACTCTTATCTCCAATTAACCAGCAAAAAGCTGTAAGTAGCTGTGCTCAAGTAATAGAGTGCTAACCTTGAGCAAAAAAAGCTCAGGGATAGCACCCACATCCTGCTTTCAAGCCCCTGGAGACACACACGCATGCGCGCACGCGTGCACGCGCGGCAGTACTGGCTAAGAGGAGCTAATTAAGGCACCACAAGCAAAGTTAGAAGATGACTTGGGGTGAGTGAAGCAGGAATTCCCACAGTTAGGCTACTATTCAGTAGTTTTCCACTGTCCAGCTGGCTGGAACTCTGCGGCTATAGCTGTGGCTGCAGTAGCTGAGCTGTGTGAACCCAGACCTAACCTCCCACAAGTACTCCCAGAACAACTGTACCTTTTCCTGTGTGTGCCCTTAGAGCCCTAGCAGACACTATGCCAAAACCTATTAGACAACAACCCTAGGATCTAGTTAAGGTCTGTCAGCCCCTCAGCACCCACCCTGCCCTCACTTCTTTCCTGTAGCAGAGCAGGCCCACACATCAGCCTGGTTGGTGTAAACACCTGCTGCTGCAACACTCCTCAGCCAGAGGCCTGTACACCCCAGGGTGGGAGGCAGGCCTACTCAAGGTAACTAGAAGGGGCTTCAGAAACATGAGCCCTCCGTGTACTGGTAAAGATAGTGAGGTCCAGGCAGAGGTATGGGATCTTTGCCAGTGACTCAGGGTCTCAGAGATCCTGACCCACGACAGAGTATAGGGAAGAAGGTGGACACCAGGAAAAGGGAACAGAGGAGGCTGCAGAGGAGGGGATGGCTTCTTTCCCAGGACTGCAACAGGCGTTTCTTGCTGTTTTTTGCAGTGCCCACCATATTCCTGAGTAAGAAACCCCGGGAAAAGGAGGTGGATTCCAAGAGCCAAGTCATTGAAGGAATCAGCCGCCTCATCTGCTCTGCCAAGCAACAGCAAACTATGCTGAGAGGTGTGGTGGTGACAGAGATGGCAGGGTGGGAAGAGGGGGCTGCGGTTCTCCCCCAGGGTGGAAAGGTGGGTCCAGCTGCCCATCCCCCTCTCTTCCGTGTCATCCCCAGTGTCTATCGATGGTGTTGAGTGGAGTGATATCAAGTTCTTCCAGCTGGCAGCTCAGTGGCCCACCCATGTCAAGCACTTTCCAGTGGGACTCTTCAGTGGCAGCAAGGCCACCTGAGGCCTTGCCTCCCAGGCAATCTCCCTCCTGGCACTGCCACTCAGCCTCACCGCCTGCGGGCAGGGGGAGGCCAGCAGGCCTGGGCTCAGCACCCCCTTCCCAGCACTGGAGCCTGCCTCTCACATGCCCAGTCCTGAAGGACACTGCCACTGGGGACGCTGCCCTCCCCTCCCACTGCCCAGACAGCTCCTGGGCCACTCCTCCATCCCTCCCCTGGGCCCTCTCCTTTGCAGGAGGGAGGGATCCAGGCCCAGAGAAGGTTGGTTCTGCCTTCTGGTGCCCATAGTCCCTAGAATTGAGTCCTTCAGGCCTTCCTTCACCTGGCTCCCCACCTCTTAACCCCTATGGCCCCAGTTCCCTTCCTGGAAATAGGAAACTTAGAATCCTGGTCTATGGCAATAGGGGCCCATCCCTCTCCCAACAGCCAGGCCACTGGGCTCTCATTTTGTAAGGCCTTGCTGCCAGATGCCACCCACCCTGCCCACCTCTAAAGAGGCTCTTGTGAGGACCTCACCTGCCACAGTTTCCCAGAGGAGGTTGAGGGGACACTTGGGCCACCACAGTGTATTCCTGGGTTGGACGGGCTTTCTCAGTCTCCCCATGCACGACTTCATACCACCTGAGTCCCTGTAGATGTCCCATATCCTGCTGTTTCTTTGGTTCTTTTTACACGGCCAGTCCTTTGGTCATTCGTATAACTTGTCCCATGCACAGGTCTTGTTCTTGTGGCTTCCTCCCTGTTGGTGATACTCCTCCTCTGCCTCCCAGCTGACCACCCAGCATGGCTGTGCCTGGCCTCGAAAGGTGGGAAGCAGGCCCCCCTGCACACAGTCTACTGTCTCCCTTTCTCTATCACCTCGTCTCCTTCCTTGCTCTGTCCTCTCATCTGCTCCCTGTCAGGATAGCAGGCAGAGGCCCAGCCTTTACCAGATCTCCCTTCAGCAGCCTCCCTCCTTGCCTAGTGATGAGGCTCAACCCCCTTGTCAAAATCCTTGGGGGAGGCTGAGGATATGGAGACAGTGCCCTGCCCCCCACTATTCCCCCTGCCATCCCCAGGGCTTCTCCATTGTTCTGTCATTGTTCCCTAGAAGTGTGGCACAGAACTTCACTTTCAAAGTGTTTTTCTCATTCTCCATGCCTCCCCCAAATCCCTCCAGCCTTCTTCCCCCACAACCCAGCCCAGCCGCCTAAAGTGTCTCCTTGGCCTGAGAGAAAAGTGGGTTGGGAGGACTGGGGCCATGTTGGATTTTTCATTCAATAAACTGGTGATTTCTTACCAACTGCCTTGGGCTTCTGTGCCCCTGTGTGACCACAGCTGTCTACCCCTTCCACAGGATTTGACAAGGATGTGATAATACTCCATTTAGAGTCAGCCAAGAGTTCAGTTTGAAAAAGAACAGGCTCCCACTTTCTCCAGTATGGGAATAGGCCTGAAATGGCTTATGTGATGTGAGATGTGAGACGGGCACAGGTCCGACATAGAAGTGATGTTATCCCCTCATGGAATCCTGTGTTTCTCCGGGACTCACCACCCCTAAATCACATCTCTTTTGAAAGTTTGAAGTCAAAAGGCATTTTGGCCTCAGTCTATAGAGAGCTTGTGACTCAGGTCCATTTCTGAGTTCACTTTTCTGCCGGCCTTGACCCAAGATAGAAAATTGTCATAGCTGGGGCTGGGAAGGTGGCTCAGTGGTAGAGTGCTTGCTTTGCATGCCTGAGGCCCTGGGTTCGATTCCTCAGCACCACATAAGCAAAAAGAAAAAAGCCGGAGGTGGCACTGTGGCTCAAGTGGTAGAGCGCTAGCCTTGAGCTGAAGAGCTGAGGGACAGCGCCCAGACCCAGAGTTCAAGCCCCACGATCAGACCTCAAAAAAAGAAAAAAAAGAAAAAGAAAATTGTCATAGCCACTGTTTCCTGGGTGCTGGGTTTTCCCCACACTCATGCAGCTTTTTCCAGAAGTGTCTCTGGCCAGAAATCCCTCTCTGACCCTTCCTCCACTCAGACACCGGACCATACTCCTCTCATCCTGCTTCACTGGCCACTCCCTCCCTCCACATCTTCCCTACAGCATCCTCAGCTCCCAGCCTAAAGTGTTGGAGAACACTGGGCTCTAACCTGAGCCTTGGAGTGAGCTAACTGGTCCCATAGTGCAGAGCATACTGCCTGTGCTATGTCCTACAAATGCCATTCTTTTTTGGGGGGGGCGCTGTCCCTGATCTCTTCAGCTGAAGGTGAATGCTCTACCACTTGATCCACAGTGCCACTTCCAGTCTTTTCTGTATATTTTGTACTGAAGAATCAAACCCAGGGCTTCATGCATGCTAGGTAAGCACTCTACCACTAAGCCACATTCCCAGCCCATTCTTTTCTTTTCTTTTTTTTTTTGGTCCAGTCGTGGGGCCTGAACTCTGGGCGCTGTCACTCAGCTCTTCAGCTCAAGGCTAGCGCTCAACCACTTGAGCCACAGTGCCACTTCCGGCTGTTTTCTTTTTGCTTATGTGGTACTAGGAATCGAACTCAGGGCCTCATGCATGCAAGGCAAGCGCTCTACCACTGAGCCACCTTCCCAGTCCCCTTTTTCTTTTTTTAATTGGCTGGTATCAGTTATAGAGTGGGAGGGATTTCAGTGTTACCTCTCCACACATTAAACTCCATTCTTCAGTTGGTTCTTCTCCTACCTTGCATTCAATCCATCAGCAGGTCCCAGGCTTTCCAAGGCCCAGCAGCATCTCATCCTTCTCACTGTCTCATTATTTCTTCATTGGATATTGCCAAGAGATGACAACTGAATGTCCTCTCAAGACAAGTATGTTCTAAGCATGTATAAAAACCAAAGATAGAGGGAATGTGGCCAATCCTGAGAACTAGACACGGTTTAATTATTAAAAGGCAGTGGGAAACTGGGCACCGGTGGCTCACACCTGTAATCCTAGCTACAGGAGGCTGAGAGCTGAGGATCACAGTTCAAAGCCAGCCCAGGCAGGAAAGTCAGTGAGCTTCTTATCTCCAATTGAACATCAGAAAATCAGAAGTTGCACTGTGGCTCAAAGTGGCAGAGTGCTAGTCTTGAACAAAAGAAAGAGTGCCCAGACCTGAGTTCTAGCCCCATGATTGACCAAAAACAAACAGTGGGAGCTAGGCACCAGTGATTCAGGCCTATAATCCTAGCCACTTAAGAAGCTCAAGTGGTGGAGCAAGAGCCTTGAGTCCCTGAATTAAACCCCCAGTACCAGCCCAAAAAAGGCAGTAGGTGTTATGAGTGTAGAGCAGAAGAGGAAAGAAAAAGACCTTGTTGCTATTAAGAATTGTACCCTCAACGCTGAGTCAGTGGGAGCCAATGAAGAGTTTCAGGCAAAGAAATGAGACTCAGCTTCACCACACTGGAGAATGCGGGGGGGGGGGGGGGGGTGTTCTTTAGACCAACCTGTTCAAAAACCACGTAATAAAGACATAGGCTCAGGAGAGAAGTAGACAGACCTGAGGGTAATTTAAGAGGCAGAATCAACAGGTTTGGGGTGCTGGTAGAAAATGGGTCTGAAAGAGAGTCAAGGACAGGACTGGCCATCTGCCTTGCATGATGCACAGATGGTGAGACATGCCTGCAGGAGACTTGGACAGAAGATGACAAGGGCTGGGGCCTGTGCAGCACTCCTAGTGGGGGTTGAATATAGGTGTCTGGCTAGAGATGGGAATATGGGCGTCCTTGGCATATGGGAGAGCTGACGTCAGGAGAGGATGACACATGCATGTGGCATATGCGTGCATGCACATACATAGTTGCGTGCATATGTGTGCACGCGTGCGCACACACACACACATCTCCCTTTCTTGGCACTAAATACCCCAGCCCTTGCTTTTTTCAGATTCACCTATCTATTTGCTGCCTTGTCTGTTAGTCACTTTCATTCTCAGCTTTTTCTCTGGCAACACCGTGAGCAGAGACTGGCCTATATTTTACATTTTAAAAATTTTTTTTATTGGGGCTGGGAAGGTGGCTCAGTGGTAGAGCGCTTGCCTTGCATGCCTGAGGCCCTGGGTTCAATTCCCCAGTACCACATAAGCAAAAAAAGAAAAAAGCTGGAAGTGGCGCTGTGGCTCAAGTGGAAGAGCGCTAGCCTTGAGCTGAAGAGCTGAGGGACAGTGCCCAGGCCCAGAGTTCAGGCCCCACGACCGGACCCAAAAAAAAAAAATTTTTTTTATTGTAAAGATACTGTACATAGGGCTGGGAAGGTGTCTCAGTGGTAGAGTGCTCGCCTTGCATGCTGAGGCCCTGGGTTTGATTCCTCAGTACCACATAAGCAGAAAAAGCTGGAAGTGGCACAGTGGCTTAAATGGCAAAGCACTCGTCTTGAGCTGAAGAGCTGAGGGACAGGGCCCAGGCCCAGAATTCAAGCCTCAGGACCAAAAAAAAAAAAAAAAGCCAGGCACTGGTGGCTCACACCTGTAATCCTAACTACTCCGGAGGCTGAGATCTGAGGATCATGGTTCGAAACCAGCCCAGACAGGAACGTCCATGAGACTCTTATCTCCAATAAACTATTCTGAAAACCCAAAGTGGCACTGTGGCACAAGTGGTAGAGTGCTTGCCTTGAGCTGAAGAGCTCAGGAACAGTGTTCAGGCTGAGTTCAAGCCCCAGGACTGACCAAAAAAAAAAAAAAGATACTATACAGAGGGGTTACAGTTACATGAGTAAGGTAATGAGTACATTTCCTACCAAGCATTGTTACCCTCTTCTATTTTACATTATTTTCCTCCCCATCTCCTGCTCTCTAGCACAGTGTTTGTCAAATAATAAGCTTATCAATAATAATAAACTATAAAGAAGAGTGTCATGCACAAAGCTTAGTGTAAAACCTTGGTGCCATTTTATTCTGTTCTTTCCATGACCTAAGAAGGTTAGATATTAGGAACCCCACTTACAGATGAGGAAAAAGGCAGAAATAACAGAACATTTCTAAATGCCAGCCAGGTAGAGAAAGAGCTTTGGCTTAAGTGGGCTAACAACTATGTCCCCTCCTAATGAGCAGGACAGGAAGAGAGCACAGATTTGTCAGGACAGAAACCCGGAGCCTCTCAGGAAAGCTCTGACAAGACTTGACCTTGGTTCAGTGGTAGAAAAAGCTGACAAGTGAAACAGGAAGCAAGGATAGGGTCTTGGGAGCAGCCAATCTTGAGTGCTTCTGGGTAAAGGTGGTGAAGTTTTAAGATGAGATCCACAGAGAAAGTGCCCCACACACCTTAAAAGAAGGAGGGAACCAGAGGGGGACGAAGGTGGTGAGAAAGCCGAATACAGTGGCTTGGGCACTCTCAGGCAGCCAAAGAGCTGGAAGGGGGGTGGAGGGTGTGTTTCCTGGAAAATATAATAATCTTAAAAGTAGCAAGAGCTGCCTCGGCCTCCCCAGGCAAGGACTGGGAGGGAGAGGGGCTCCTCGGCACTGCAGAAAATGGTGGAAGGAGCTGAATCATCATTGGGCACTGATTCTTTCCTCTATTCTCCATAGACTGAGCACCCATCAGCAGCCTGGCAGGAGACCAGCAGCTGCCAGGGGAGTGCAGGACAGAGCTGGTGAAGTAACAGCCCCTCCCTGGGGAGAAGCACAGAGTTATCCTGTGGACTAGATAAACAAAGCAAATGGCTGAAAAGCTGAACAGCAGCAAGGTTAAGCACTGAAAGCAAGATAAGGGTGTGAGAACAAACTGGGCAGGGAAAGGCCAGCACAAGGGAGGCAGGGCCAGCTGCCCAAGGAGAAGCACAAAAGAAACTGCCAAAGCCTTCACCAAGCAGAAAGCCTGAGCAAGGAACCTTTAGCAGAAGCCATCCAATGAGTCTGACAATGGTTCTCTGTTTGCCTGGGACAAGGTGATAAAAGGGACGTGCACCACCTTTATTATAAAATGAGAACACAGGGAAGGAGCAGAGGTGGCAAATGTGTGTTTACGCCTGCGTACACTGCAGGCAGCCTGCAGACACAGATGCACGAGAATGGGGGGTGGGTAGCAGGTGTGTCTGGCCTCTGGGGAACCTGACTCTGGCTCTATGTTGAGAGCATGCACACCTGTGCTATTGCATGGGGCAGAACATGCTATTATTTGTCCTTATTCCTCTTAACCTACTCTGTTTGATCAATCTCCCTTCCATGCTCTCAGAGACAAAATGACCTGAAGATTCAAGAGAGAGGTAGTGGTCATTAAGAACCTGAGCTGCCCAAGAACAGCAGAATATAAAGTTGACCCCTAGTTGGGCTCATGTCTGTCCTGTACCTAGCTACCTCCTAG